GAGGAGCTCAAACTCCCCCAACTTCAGCGGTCTTCTCTGAAAGCAAGAATTTTTTTTTCTCCAGGTCTTGCTTGCTTGCACTTACTTTCCTGAAACATTTCCATGCAAGAGAGCATTTGCGAGGCTTTGGGGGCTGTCGCCGAAGCCTGAAGGATGGGAGACCATCGTTTTTTTTCGTTTTGTGTGTCTGTTTTTTCCGTTTTACGTGTTGTGTGTGTTGTGTAGGTGTGTTGTATGTTTGTTTGTGTGTGTGTGTGTGTGTAAGTGTGTGTGTAAGTGTGTGTATGTGTTGTTTGTGTGGTGTGTATTGTGTGTGTGTGTGTGTGTGTGTGTGTGTGTGTGTATGTGTGTGGTGTGTATGTGTGTATGTGTGTTGTGCTCCGCGTGTACAGTACTTGCGATGTGTTTGTGTTTTTTTGTGTGTGTACGTGTGTTTGTATGTGTGTGTATGTGTTTGTGTGTGTACGTGCGTGTTAGTGTATACATGCTTGTATGTACATACTAATTGTATGTATGCACATTCTTCATATAACTTAAACACTTACTCTTATAACACATACCCTCCAGTCCAGCTTTTAATTCCAGCTGTTAATCAACTCAAAAATATAAAAAGAACAGCTGTTATGACACAACGTTTGAGACAGAGATCACGTCGAAGTTCTAAGTGGTTTTTGTATGAACGCTGATGATTAATTCCAAGTGGTCTGGAGGTTCGACCTTGTGTGTTCTTGCATAGGGGCTAATATCTAATCCTGTCGGTGACTGGTTTACATCGATTGTGCAAGTCGAGAGAAAGGTAAGTTAGAGACGACGGAAAGAGAGGAAATATTTATAAGATGGACAGAGAGAAGCAGTAAGAACAGAAAATAAACGAAAAAAAAAAAAATGAGCATAAGCGTGATAGATACGCCAGAAAACCAAATATTTGTTATATTCATTTACGCGATGAGGGTCATAAACTGAACTGGAAAAGTCACATTAACTCATCATTCATCATCAAATTCTTATGAAAGAAAAATTGCTTGAAGCTCTGTTAATTAGAAAACTACCCAATTTGAACTTTAATGCTGGTCAATAGGGCTTGGAGAATCTTCCTTCGTTGTTATTAAGTAAAGTCTTCCCCAGACTCTTCGACCTTGACCCTTCTCCTGAGACCGGATTCAACTCTTATTTATTGTCCCTCTACCACTATATAATCCTGTCATTATTCTCTCCATGAATCCATTTTCGTTATCCATTCGTCTGAAGAGGAACCCTTGAAAATTCCGAAACGTAACCTTTATTATCTATATTTCCTGTAGCTGTCTTCATTTCCATAGAGAATTACCCTTATTATCGTTATTATTAATTATCATTATAATTTTCATGATTAATTTTACTATTATTATCATTTCCCAGAGCCCGTTGCTTAAATACGGTGCCGCTTTGTCACGTCTATTCTTACTTTGAAGAGATCACTGCCGTCATTCTTATCTCTTTTTTTCCATTACCTTTGAAGCAATTCCCCGGTTACTAATATCTTTTACCGAGACGATGACCCTCACCTTTGACCTCAGACGAGTGAGGACCTCCGATCAGAATGATATTCCGGACATAAACCATAAACGTGTTATCTGCGTGAAGCCGCGACAGGAACAACGAAGGGAAGGACAAAGAAAACACACGGATATGTCCATATTCGGGTGTTTTCTTGTCCTTCCCTTCGTTGTTCCTGTTGCAAGTCTTCTTTCCTCGGCATAGTCTTGTGTTTTCTTGCCCTTTCCTTCGTTGTTCCTGTTGCAAGTCTTCTTTCCACAGCATATTCGTGTGTTTTCTTGTCCTTCCCTTCGTTGTTCCTGTTGCAAGTCTTCTTTCCTCGGCATATTCGTGTGTTTTCTTGTCCTTCCCTTCTTGTTCCTGTTGCAAGTCTTCTTTCCACGCATATTTGCGTGTTGTTTTCTTGTCCTTCCCTTCGTTGTTCCTGTTGCAAGTCTTCTTTCCTCGGCATATTCGTGTGTTTTCTTGTCCTTCCCTTCGTTGTTCCTGTTGCAAGTCTTCTTTCCTCGGCATATTCTTGTGTTTTCTTGTCCTTCCCTTCGTTGTTCCTGTTGCAAGTCTTCTTTCCACAGCATATTCGTGTGTTTCCTTCCCTTCGTTGTCCTGTTTCTTCTTTTTCCACAGCATATTCGCCCCCTTCCCTTCGTTGTTCCTGTTGCAAGTCTTCTTCTATTCCACAGCAATTCTTGTGTTGTTTCTTGTCCTTCCCTTCGTTGTTCTGTTGCAAGTCTTCTTTCCTCAGGCATATTCGTGTGTTTTTCTTGTCCTCCCTTCGTTTGTTGCAAGTCTCTTTCCACAGCATATTCGTGTGTCTTCTTGTCCTTCCCTTCGTTGTTCCTGTTGCAAGTCTTCTTTCCACCAGCATATCTGTGTTTTCTTGCCCTTCCCTTCGTTGTTCCTGTTGCAAGTCTTCTTTCCACAGCATATTCTTGTGTTTTCTTGTCCTTCCCTTCGTTGTTCCTGT